CTAAACTTTCAAATTAAAAAAAAGAAAAAGAAAAACGCTACAAAAAAAGGCGCGCTAGAGAATATAAAAATTGTTGAAATCTGCTAAGTAGATGATATAATGGTTGCCCTGAAACAACACTAAAGAAGGCAAAGACTAAGATAATTAGGAAGAAAAAAACCACAATTCAAAAATTGTCTAAACCTCGCCAGTGAGACATAACATTTTTACTGGCATCCCTTTTTATAATGCTACAATCCAAGCAGGTAATTTCACCCTGATTATATTGTATTCTGCAAAGTTCCCCAAAAGCAGTGAAGGTTTAGTACATAAACAGTTCTGAAGGATCCATGAAAATCGTACAGGTACCCCAGAATGTAGCAAATCACTTTGTTGAATATTTTAATACCATGCCCACACTACTGGCTAGTAATGTTAAAGAATCATCAGAATAACCCACACTTAGATACTTCAATCCTTCTACTTTTTCATTTAAACCAACAACAGAACCAGAAATAAATGATATAATCAAAAACCTAAAATCCTCTCAATCTACTGGTAATGATGAAATAAGTCCCAATCTTTTAAAAAAGTGTTCGTCATTTATTGCAGGCCCACTAACTTTTGCCATCAACTGCTCGTTGGAAGAAGGTATTTACCCAGATAGTTTAAAAATTGGAAAAATAAAACCTATACATAAAAATGGAAATAAAACTCAAGTTGAAAATTACAGGCCCATTACTGTCCCCAGTGCTTTTGCAAAGGTTTATGAAAAATGGGTGTCAAATTCAGTCGTTTCATTCTTTGATCTTCATAAGCTATTCAATGAAAATCAATTTGGTTTTAGAAAGGGACGTTCAACAACACAAGCTATAATAAAACTACTAAAAGAGCTATGTAATAGTCTAGATATGGGTAATCGAACTCTGGGTATTTTCTTAGATCTAAGTAAGGCATTTGATCTTGTAGACCACAGAATTCTACTAGACAAATTGGAAAAGTATGGTTTTAGGGGAAACTCACGTAGATGGTTTGAAAGTTATCTCCAAAATCGAACACAATACGTTGATATAGATCAGTATCAATCTAAACGTTTAAAGTATACTATTGGAGTACCACAAGGCTCTATTTTGGGACCTCTACTTTATATAATTTATGTCAATGACTTTGAAGGAAATTTTGTAATGTATGCGGATGACACAACANACTCGACACTTTCAGATTATTTATTTTAGCCGAAAACCTACAGTTTGTAAAAAACTTGATAAAAGATTAGTTACCGTTTTTGTAGGCTTTGTTCAACCCATAGAAATCCACAGGGTGGTCGAGTGTACCAATTCAATCGAAATTAAACGACCTCATGCATTTATTTTTATGATTTTTATGATATTTCAAGAAAAAGGCGTTTGGAAATATTTTTTTCTGTATGTAAAACTTTGATATTACAATAATTTGGTTTATGTCCTGTTTCTATAGAATGTTGCGCTAATGCACATGATTTCTTATTAAGTTTTATATCACTTTTATGTGAAGTTATTCTAATAAGCATGAATATTTGGAAAGCGTTCAATTTCTCTCTACATGAATTAATTTTTTCGCCTGATAAATCACGGTTCGTAAAAAAGGAACGGAGATGAGGATAATGTAGGTAACAAGGCCATCAAATGAAACCTGAGAAATTGATGACATGTTTTTGTGAATAATTATCATTACAAGAGTTGTATCTCTAATTGATTCATTTATGTAGGTATACATTGAAAATATGCATGTTTTCATCTTACCGACATGTTACTAAAGA